CCCCAAAGCCTATTCAAATTCTTAAGACCCCTATAGTAGTTCTGAAAAAAAGCCCCGAAACGCGAAGCACTGACAGTCGGTTGGAAGCCCAAGCTTCAAGTTCCAATCGGTTGCAAATAAAACAACAAAGGCAAACTTAGGGTCTAGGGTTTAGGGTTTTAGGGTTTAGGGTTTAGGGGTTAGGGGTTAGGGTTTTAGGGCTTTAGGGGTTTAGGGGTTGGGGTTTAGGGTTTAGGGTTTAGCCAACCCTGAAAAGCTCTGGCACTCGTGTCGAGCTCCAGGCGCTCGGTGAGTTGCGACAAGGCCTGACGGGGCTTTCGGCAGGGTAGAGCGTCCGATATCGGGCACCTACACCCCCCAGTACCAAACATGCATAACCCCGAACCTTCAGGCTTGTCGTGCATATCTTAGTATCACTAACGTCACTAGCGTTAATTCCCTAAGGCCTCACCGAACCCTGAGCCCCAATGCCGAAATCCTACAACCTAAAAAGGTTTAGGGTTTAGGGTTTAGGGTTTAGGGTTGTCTACTTGACCCTCAGATGCTGAACGCCAGAGCCCACCTGCGCTAAATCCACGACTGAAGAACTTCACTGTAGCTTGAAGCCTTCAACCCTAAACCCTAAACCCGAAAAAACCATTATAATTATTATAGTTATTATAAGTATTATAGTTATTATAACTATTGTAATTGTAATGATTACTAATTCTATGGGATCTTCGAACCCGCAGGACAAGCTCACTCTCTCACGCAGGCGGGCTTGCGGGGCAGTGCTCATGGCAAGCTTGGCAAGAAAACACGGCTGGTGTACATCGGATCTATCCCAGCGGCTTAGGGCTTAGGGTTTAGGGTTTAGGGTTGTACTGCATCGGATCTATCCCCCGGCGGCCAGACAAAAGGGGGTTTCCGAAAATAGGGGACTCTAATATAGCACCCTAAATAGTAGGATCCTTATTAAAAGGACCCCAAAATGATAAGGGTACCCTAATTTTCGGAAACCCCTAAATTCCTAAAAGAAACAACAACAAGGGCACCCACTTCCCCCTGAGCCGAGCCCGGCCTGAGGATCGGAAACAAGCTACCCATAGGCCCCATAGTAGTTTCTTTTTGGGGGATACCTTATAGGATTCTATATATGAACCCCCAAAAAGGAACGACTTTAGGGCCAATGGGTACACGCATGACTCATCCGATCAACCCCTTCTGAAAGCCCTCGTGCCCAGCAGTAAAAAACCCTCAAGCCACAGACCTACCGAACCGACGCCGAAAACCCCAACAAGAGAAAACTAACTGTTCCCTAACCTTTTGGCCCCCAGACCTAAACCGCCCCCACACCCTGAAACCCCCAACACTTAACCCCCCAAAGATAAAACTCATCACCTGCAAAGAACTTGTTAAACCCAAACCAAGGACGACAATGCCTCCTCGTCCGCAGTCTCCGGTTTCAGCGAGGCAACTGCCTCGAAGGACATCGGGCTTCAAACTTCCATGGGTTGAGTTTTACTGGTGCTTCGTTCAGGCGGCTTCTAAACCCTAAACCCTAAACCTAGATGTGTTTGTGCAGGGTTTCGAGCTTGGGAAAGGGTTGAGAGAGACTGTAAGGATATAGGGCTTTATGGAGGTTGCAAATACGGCTTTTAAATGAGCTGTTCAGGGTCCAAGATCGAGCCCTAAACCGCACCAGGTATCTGGAACAGAAGCCTGCCTGAGGCTCCGGATATCGACTAAGTCGAAGGCTTAGGGTTTGGAGTTGTGCCCCGCATCTAAAAAGTCATCGGCTACTACTTGGAGGATTCAACTTTACAGACTTTGCTGTTTCAGGCTCCTCCAAGGAGTCTGATAGTTTCTGGATGCCCATCCATCCCGTCCTCACTCAAGGAGGTGGCAATCAGAACAAAAGCCATGCCTATGTCCTTTACTTGGACTCCCACACAGTGATCTGGATCTGCTGCACAAGCCTCTAGACTCTAGCATGATTACCGGGCGTGGCGGCCCTCAGCGCGTCCCTGCAAGCCCTACAAGCCCCTAAACCTGACACCCTAAACCCCACAAGCCCCAAACCCTAAACCCTAAGCCCTAAATAAACCCTAAAACCCTAAACCCAAAGCCCAAGAAAGCCCTTCAATCCAAAACCTGACGCCGAAGTCGATAACTCCGTACACCGGGGAGCACCAAGGTCCCAACCCTGCACCCCAACACGAAAGTGCACGGTTCAGGGCTTCAAGGCTTACGGGTTTCAGGCTCTAGGGCTTTAAGGATGTAGGCTGGGTACCGGGCTCTGTCTCCTTGCAGCGTCTTGTTGCGGAGTAGGCTTGATGCAGACCCCTGACTAATCACCCCCTTCCAGATGTTGTTGCGGGGATTTTAGCAGGGAGCCTTTTTGGCCGTTAAGAAGAGATGGTGATTTATTAACCAGGAGTCTACATGGGTAGTTGTCTAAATGAAGGGTCCCTTCTGGGTCCTTTTTTTCAATAGGGGTGCCGTACTATTTTGGGGACCTAAAATGGGGACCCCAAAGGGGTACCCGAGTTTAGAGAACTACCCACACGAAGGTTCAGGATTCATGTGGAGGCTCAAGATAGCACCCTAGACCCTAAACCCTCAACCCTAAACCCTAACCCTAAACCCTAAACCCCTAAACCCTAAACCCCTAAACCCTAAACCCTAAACCCCTAAACCCTAAACCCTGAGCCCCCCTTGGCTCCCGGACATCACTGATCGATTCGGCTAAGAAGAGCCTCCGATCGAGTGGGCTTGGGTTCTAAACAAAGACTCTTTTATGCCATGGAGGGGGGATTTAGGGATAGTGGAGGAAGAATTTAGGTTTTGGTAATTTAGTAGCCATATCATCAGATGCGTTTGCAGCTTCTGCTGTCTGACATCACGATACATGCAATCAGAGAGAAGTGCCGGCTATTACAAGAGCGAGTGTCGCTGTCACATCGCCGCTGCGATAATCGTATCGCAGTTCTGTTGCTCCTACTTTCAGTTTAGGGTTCAAGGTTTTAAGGTATCAAGCAATTGTCGTCTCATGAGAAGCCTACACGTTCCAACTACAGCAACATTCAGCCCCAGTCCCCAGCATGACCACATCTTAGAGGACTTTGAACCTAAAGACTACCTAAACCCCAAACCGTCAACCCTAAACCCTAAACCCTAAACCCCTAAATCCTAAACCCTAAATCCTAAGCCCAAGAATCCTAAACCCAAAACCCTAAACCCCAAAGGCCCTAAAGCCCCAAACCCTAAACCCTAAAGCCAAA